TATATGAATATATTTTATAAATATATACATGTAAATACATGTAAATATTTTAAATATATATACTGTATGTGTGTGTATTTATATATACATGGTAAATATACACAGTAGTACACATACATATATTATGAAAACAAAAACTTTCATTTTGTATGCAATTAATCGTTTGACAGCACTAATATATATATATATTTATATATATATATAGAGAGAGAGTTTGGTAAATATCATATTTGATGCATCAGGCTTTTATGGCTCATATAGTCGGATATAGTGACAATATGATGAAAAAACAGCTAAATTTTATTCAGAGACTCAAACTGAGCAAAAATATGCAATTTGGTTGGACGTTTGTACAATTACATTAAAATTCAGTGTTCAACAGGTTTAACAGCAAAGTTTTGATCATGTAGAGCATTTAGAACCTTAGAAATGTGCATATCTAATATTATCCAGTAGGCTTTTAAAGCATGAAACAGACTCATGTTTTGTAATACAGATTGATGAGTCACATGACATCCACGGCTCTGCTGATTGGCCGTGTGAGTCCTCATGAAGATGGCTGCATGGAGATGCATGCAAATACTAACAGATAAACTCTCTCCAGGTGCATTAAACCTGAACATTAACCTGATGCATCTCAAGCAGATTTACCTGTGATCAGATTGTCCACCAGAGTGATGGGAAGGCATAAGATGCCCACCAGCAGGTCGCTGATGGCCAGGTTGAGTATGAAGATGTTGGTGACAGTTCTCATCTGCCTGTTTCTCAGCACGATGAAGCACACCAGGATGTTTCCCAGCATGCACAGCGAGAAGATGAGCACGTAGGCCAGGATAATGACGGAGGCCACGGCGAGGGAATGCTGGTAGAACGGTAAGAACATGAGGTTTCTGCTGTTGTTGAAGAGCGTGCTGTGGTTAATACTGATGTTCTCGCTGTAGAAGTTGTTCAGATCCATTGCTGAGAGAGTTTCCAAATCTAAGACTGAGAACAGAGGGATGTTTGCTCAGAAATTACACTTCTTTTGTCTTTTTTTTTTCAGCACAAATATCTTACATTTACTGGAGATCCAAAGTGCCAAAGTCTTGTTTTCTGAAAAAATGCCTTGTTGAAATGTTGAAAACAAGACAAAATATCTGCCTGTGGGCTCCATTGGCAGATATCTGTTCTTAATTTAAGCATCAACTCAATGCATTATGATTGATTTTTCAGAAAACAAGACTTCTGATGTAATTTTGCATCTGAAGTAAATGTGTGTTCATTTAAGAGCGTTTAGATTAAAGACTAAACTTTAAATTTTGGCATCAAATTAAATTTACAAAAGTGATTTTATGTACACAGAAAGCATATTACATGCAAGTAAAGTGTCTGCTTTAATGTTTCAAATAACTTTTTTGAAAATAAAATGTCAAAATATGGGTGAGATAATGTTCCATTGTCATTCAGCGTAACAGATATATTTGTGTAAAAATGAAAAGAAAACATACTTATTCTGACCTGAACTTATTAAAGTATATAAAAGAATAAGGGATCTTATTAAATTTGATTATATTTTAGATGATTAAAAATGTGTTATTTGAATTTTTATGTGGGTGTTTTCTGTAAAGCATGGTTTAAATTTTCATTTAAACGTTCATTCATTTACACACACACACACACACACACACACACTCATTCATTTTAGGCTTGCAAATCCCTTTTTATATCAGTATTTTATTCCAGTGTTCAAACAATTTGCAATAACTAACACCACTTTATGTCACGTTTCTGCCGTAATTGCGGTAAAGATTGTGCTGAGTTTAAACATGGTGAAATGCATTACATTAAACTGTGAAGGTCCTTTATTCTTATCCAAAGAGATCCAAAGAGATAAAAGAGCAGTAGTTTAATTTCATGCCAACTTTTTCAAGGGTTATGAGCAGATGTGACCTTAATTTCTAACTTTGGCTGCTGTCACCAAACTCTGATGCACCTCAAGGCCAGTCATCCCAGCGTCATTTCATTTTAATATGCGGATGCATAAGCATGGTCCAGCCTCTGTGTTGACCGGTAACCTTACATCAACATAACGGACAGGCAACATGCCTGACCTTGAAAAGATGGATTGCATTCTATTCTTAATGACAGAAAGAGTCTACAGAAAGCAGAGCCAAGGCTGTAGGCCAAGAAATTCTAGTTATAAGCAAATTTGCATGCTTTTCCAAACACATAGTGTTTTTTTTATCAAGTGAAATAAATATCATGACTCTAAAGAGACTCACATTTGGCCAGATTATTAAAAAAAAATATATATATAAAAAAAATATATATATGACATAATAATATATCTATTTTATATATACTGCATCGCCAAGATCATAGTTTCGATTTCCAGGGAATGCATTAACTGAAATAAATGTGAAGCTTCAGTGCAATGTTACTCATTTTGGATAAAAAGCCTCTGCTCAATGTAATCTAAATATTTTTGTGCTCAAATGCTGTGTGCTAAACCTATTTTGGCGTGTAATAGTGTTTGAAATGAGCTTTTCTCCCAGGGTTTGTAGCTGGAGTTCAGATAAACAACTCTGCACTTTAACCTGCCGCATATCGATCTAAGCCTATACATATCCACGTCTCCTGGGCTTCCTTTCCTGTTCTTTAAGTCTCTCAGTTGCAGCTTGAGTGAAATCTACTTCCCACGGTGAGCACACAGCCGTCGATGCTCCCTAAATGAGTTTAATGGCAGGAATTGAGTGACAGCGAGGGCTCTGTGTGCCGTCCGTTTAGTGTTCGGCCCTGCAGTGGTTATTTCAGCTTTACCTGCGCAGCTGAAGACTGCAGAGATTCATCGCATGTGCTAAAACAGCTGCAGCTCTGGATGCTCCGCATATGTGGACTGATGGTTTGGAAGTATTAGATTAGTGTCACGGGTGCCATTGGACAGGTTAATTTGGCGCCTGTGTCAATGAGTGTTATTGCACTCTAGTTCTCTTTGAATTATTCATCACCATGGGAACAAGAGAAATGTCTCACCTATTGCTTCCGGCACTCAGAAACATGTTTAGCTGAGTTGCTTGAGCGTGAATCTCCTCTGCATCTGTCATGCTAATCCCGCTCGTTAAGTTTGCAGGATGATAGTGATTCTCTGTTCATCAGATCATCACAGATGATATCAAGTGATGCAGGTGACAAAAAGAATGAAACTTTACATGCAACTCCTACATGCCACTTCAGAAGCGCTTCTGAAGTGGCATTTAGGTGCATGGACTGTTTAATGCTGCTCAGAGGTGGCATAAATGCATTTACACTGCAATTAACAAATATATACTTTAATATAGACTTAATTTAGTCTGGCTTTTATGCAGCATTACATCTTTCTTTAACACTGATTTTGAGCCTTAATTCAGCCGTGTAAAGAGGCCTTTAGATTACACTGCAAAAGTGGCTCAGAAGCGCTTTTGAAGTGGCATTTAGGTGTCTTGGCACGGACTGTTTAATGTTGCTCAGAGGCGGCATAAATGCATTTACACAAAAATACATAACAAGTATGAAAAAGTGCATTATTTACTACTGGAACTGGGGTGGGTCAGAGCAGGCATAATTAAGTCTGGCTTTTAGTCAGCATCTTTACACAAAATTTTGAGTATGCACAATGCAGCCTTATTTCAGTAAAGGTGGCACACTGTAAAATCACTGCAACTGAAGTGGCATTTAGGTGTCTTGGCACGGACTGTTTAATGCTGCTCAGAGGCGGCATAAATGCATTTACACAAAAATACATAAGTATGAAAAAGTGCATACTTTACTACTGGAACTGGGGTGGGTCAGAGCAGGCATAATTAAGTCTGGCTTTTAGTCAGCATCTTTACACAAAATTTTGAGTATGCACAATGCAGCCTTATTTCAGTAAAGGTGGCACACTGTAAAATCACTGCAAAGTGGCACAGAAGCGCATAATTTATTCTGGCATTTATTCTGCATTACCTCTTTACACTGAATTTGAGCAGGCACAAAGCAGCCTTAACTCAGCTGTGTAAAGTCTTTAGTTTACACTACAAAGGTGGCACAGAAACACTTCTGAAGCTGCATTAAGGTGTCTTTAAGCAGACTGTTTAATGCTGCTCAGAGGTGGCATAAATGCATTTCCACAGCAATTAACAACTATATACTTTGATAGTAGAAGCTGAGCTGGGTCAGAGCAGGCTTAATTTAGTCTGGCTTTTATTCTGCATTACATTTTTACGCTGAATTTTGAGCAGGCACACAGCAGCTTTAACTCAGGTGTGTAAATAAACCATTATTCATATAAATGATGTGAAAAAGAAATTTCCAATAGATAGCTACTTAAGATTAAGAAAGGAAAATCACTTTTAAAAGTTGCTAAAAATGTTTTTGCACTTACAAGACTAAGCTTTTCTGACAGTCTAAAGGAAACTGATTTTTTCCTCAGCCAGTTGAATTGAAGTAGACTGCAAGAAATTTGTGACAAGATTATATGAGATGCATGTAAGTCATAAAGCTATTGAATATTTGTACTTATAAATTTATTTGGCAAACTACAAGACTATATAAGCAACCTGCAAAATATGCAATAAGGTAAAACGGGGTGATTAGTCATGCACCACCTAAATTATGCACTTTCCCTTATACATTATGCATGCATTTTTAACTTAAAATATTGATGCTGAATTGAAAAATTCCTGGACATTCGTTGTCAGCCTGTGAATCCTGCTGGGCATCTGTAACATCACTGCTGATCGCAGAGAATCCAAACACATTGCAACAGGTTCTGATCAATCTGAGACAGTTAACCTCCTCTGCTGTAACATATAATGTACACAGGAATACTTCATACAAATTCCCTTTCATACACTGTCATAAGAGCTTAGGAGTAGATACAGCACAAAAAAGCAGTTGGGTTTGAAGACATGAAAAGTTGTTACCTGGTAAAGTGTGCGGATCCTGCATCTGTCGGTGAACGAGTGACACTGTTGATATCAAGACACATCAGCCCTCCATCCCAGCGCTTATTAATTATATCACATGCTAATTAGTTCCCCAGATAAATGCAAAGTGCTGAAATAACACTCATCAAATGTCGATACATTCAGACACATTCCTGCTCAGACGCTCGAACCGCACTGACAGAGAGAGAGAAGCAGAGTAGTCTAGGTGTGTGCGTGTGTGTGTGTGTGTGACGGAGGGTGGGGAGG